CACTTATCTAAATATTGTTCACCATATGTTTCACTGTAAACACTTGGTCTACACACTCCCTACCTTTCGTAAAGCCTCCTTGTTCATCTGCTATCCTACTCTCCATCTTACTCTTAATTCTTTCAAAAATAACTCTACCATACACTTTACCAGGTACACTCAACAGACTTATTCCCCTATAGTTTTTGCACTCTTTTTTATCTCCTTTGCCTTTATACAAAGGAACTATGCATGCTCTCTGCCAATCCCTAGGTACCTTACCCTCTTCCATACATTTATTAAATAATAACACCAACCACACTCAAAAACTATTTCCCCACCTGCTTTTAACATTTCTATCTTTATCCCATCAATCCCAGCTGCCTTACCCCCTTTCATTCTACCCAATGCCTTACAAACTTTCCCCCACACTCACAACTGGCTCATCCTCACTCCTACAAGGTGTTATTCCTCCTTGCCCTATACACGAAATCACAGCTTCCCTATTTTCATCAACATTTAACAATTCCTCAAAATATTCTCTCCATATTCCCGATACCTCTAACTCTCCATTTAATAACTCTCCTCTCCTATTTTTAACTGTCAAATCCATGTGTTCCCTAGGCTTCCTCAACTTATTAATCTCACTCCAAAACTTTTTCTTATTTTCAACAAAATTTGTTGATAACATCTCACCCACTCTCTCATTTGCTCTCTTTTTAGATTGTAAATGGTCCAAGTCGGCCCGAAACGTCGTCATGGCCTCCTCTCTTTTATGTGCGGGTTATTGTGTATTGCTTCACCACTCTCTTAACCTCTCTCTTTTTTTCTCAATATACTCTTCCCGCCTTGCATCACTTCTACTTTGTAAAAACCTCTCGTATGCTAACTTTTTCTCTCTTACTACTCTCTTTACATCATCATTCCACCAATCGCTCTTCTTCCCTCCTGCACCTGACTTTTTTGGGTTATCCTAGGTTCTCTACATGTATGCTGCTATGTATAATAATTCTATGTAACTGTATTTGTGTATACCTGAATAAACTTACTTACTCTTACCTACTTTCCTGTAACCACAAACTTCTGCTGAACACTCAACATTACATTCTTAAACCTACCCCATACATTTTTGACCCCATTGCCTATACTCTCACTAGCCCATCTATCCTCCAATAGCTGTTTATATCTTACCTTTACTACCTCCTCTTTTAGTTTATACACCTTCACCTCTCTCTTACATGCTGCTTCTATTTTTCTTGTATCCCATCTACCTTTTACCCTCACTGTAGCTACAACTAGAAAGTGATCTGATATATCTGTGGCCCCTCTATAAACATGTACATCCTGAAGTCTACCCAAGTCTTTTATCTACCAATACAAAGTCCAACAAACTACTGTCATTACGCCCTACATCATATCTTGTATACTTATTTATCCTCTTTTTTTTTAAAACACGTATTACCTATAACTAAATCCCTTTCTATACACAGTTCAATCAAATGGCTCCCATTATCATTTACACCTGGCACCCCAAACTTGCCTACCACACCCTCTCTACATGTTTCTCCAACTTTAGCATTTAGGTCCCCTACCACAATTACTCTCTCACTTGGTTCAAAGGTTCCTATACATTCGCTTAACATCTCCCAAAATCTCTCTCTCTCCTCTACACTCCTCTCTTCTCTAGGTGCATACACGCTTATTATGACCCACTTTTCACATTCGACCCTTACTTTAATCCACATAATCCTTGAATTTACACATTTACATTCCCTCTTCTCCTTCCATAACTCGTCCTTCAACATTATTGTTACCCCTTCCTTAGCTCTAACTCTCTCAGATACTCCTGACTTAATCCCATTTATTTCTCCCCACTGAAACTCGCCTAACCCCTTAAGCTTTGTTTCGCTTAGGGCCAGGACATCCAACTTCTTTTCATTCATAACAACAGCAATCATCTCTTTCTTATCATCCGCACTACATCCACACACATTCAAGCATCCCAGTTTTATAAAGTTTTTCTTCTTCTTATTTTTAGTGTGTACAGGAGAAGGGGTTACTAGCCCATTGCTCCCGGCATTTTAGTCGCCTCATACGACACACATGGCTTACACAGGAAAGATTCTTTTCCACTTCCCCATGGAAAATAGAGAGAGAAAAAAAAAAGAACAAGAGCTATTAAGAAAAAGAAGAAAAAACCTTAGATTTGTGTATGTATATATATGCATGTGCATGCCTGTATAGTGTGACCTAAGTGTAAGTAGAAGTAGGAAGATATACTTGCTATCAAGCATGTTTGTGAGACAGAAAAAAGACACCAGAACTCCTACCATCATGTAAAACAGTTACACGTTTCTGTTTCACAGTCATCTGGCAGGACGGTAGTACCTCCCTGGGTGGTTGCTGGCTCCCTTAGCTATGTCCCTTATTCTGTTGAGCTGCCCTATGACTTTATTTCCATATGTACAAGGCAGATGTGCAATAAGACAAAAAATTTACATGTGTTATGGTGTGGTATAATGACATACAATCAAGACGATTTGATTTATTTGTAGTATATATGATAAAATAAGAATATTGATGTTACCTGAATGAGAAGAGAGCCATGACAAAGAAAATAAGTTATGAAAATGCTCAATTCACCATTAATAATTGTACAAAGATATGATAATTAGATACAGCGATCATTCTAAGTACAAAATTCTGAATACTACAACAGCAATGTCAAAATGAAGGAACAGTAACACACATTAGAAAAAAGAAATTGCTTTTGAAAAATTGTGGAGACAGAAAATACATGAGTATGAATGCTGGACAGAAACTTGACAAGCAGGTTACAATAGATCTAACTGACATTTATACATTTAAGCAGAGGAAAACCTAAAATAAATTAATTTATATGATACATGTATATATTTTGCTTGTAGTTTAAAAGATCCTGCACTGGAAAAATTTTAAACATCCATTTATTATTAGTACCATACATTTTAGGAAAAGAGAGGGGAAAATATTCAGATCTTTAAGTTTCAATACCAAGTCAGCTGAAGTTGTGTTTAAGTTGACAACCAAATACTAGTATCTCTGATCACCTACAGAGTTATGTGAAGTATGGTTATGTGGAGCTGAAAATATATGGATGGAGGCAATGACCAATACATTTGTACAGACATTTCATTTATTATTTCATATTTTTCTTTTACTCTGATCAGGTCAAACAACAGCCAGACATAAACTTCAACCTCTAGTTGATCTTCCACACCCAGGTAACTTTATAACATATCCGTGATTGTTTAATCTCAACATTGTTTTCACGAGAAATCATCATTAATCTAACCAAGAGTAAATGTGAAACTTAGTCACATAAAATGACATAATCAAAACTAGATATTTATACTTATGTAGAAAATCAGATTCAGTTCCGTATATCCTAAAGAAAAAGTAGGGTAGAGAGTTAAGTTGAATGCATTCATAGCATTTGGCAGACGAATATAATTTTACTCAGATTATTAACTAAGAGGAGTTTACCTGGAGTTTACCTGGAGAGAGTTCCGGGGGTCAACGCCCCCGCGGCCCGGTCTGTGACCAGGCCTAGTAGTAACAAAAGAAAGCCAGTGTTAATTATTTCTATTTGATGGCATTCTTGAGTACTAAAATGGACATAAAAGGCTTAGCTGGGAATGATTTGTACAATATCATATTAAATTAGAAAATTTAGTTTCATAGACTTAAAGCCTATCAACTGAACATGGATCATCAAGGTTATAATTCACTTGTACATTAATGTCAAGACTATTTCAATCACCAATACATGGCTTAACATCAACTTTCTGCAAATTATTATTAAATTAGTGTGGGGGGTGAGCACTTTGCCTGTAGGGGGTCATATAGCATCTGGAGGAATGGGAAATAATTAAGTTCAATCCAAGGAACAGAAAGTTAGGTGTAATTCCTGGGATCAAGAGCTCCTCACTGGCATAAAGAAACCTTCTCTGAGGGGAACTTTGAACAAAGATGTATGCCAGGCACATAAATGTTTATATAATAGTTGTTAAGATAAGATTTTATTCAGCTTATTAACCCAGGATAACCCAATAGTCAATGCATCATCATTGAGATCCTTAATGTTCTCTCCCAGGATTAAGTAAGTTTATTCAAGTACAAGTACACATAAGTACAATCATTATACATAGTTCAACATATGTGTACATTACCCAGGATAGCCCAAAAAAGTCAGAGAAAGTGACATATTTCCAATGGAGCCCTTATAATATGTTACTATTTAAAACCTAATAATTGACTAACACCCTGATACCTACTTACTGCTAGGTGAACAGGGGCAACAGGTGTAAGGAAACATGCCCAATGTTTCATCTGTACCGGGGAGTGAACACCAGTCCCTCAGTGTGTGAGCTGAGGATACTATCATTCTACTGCTTTTAAATTAACATTGAAAGATTTGGGACTCTTATCTAAGTAAACCTATGACCCACTAGTGATGACTGTGATTCACACAGAAAAATGAAGATAAATGGTATAAAATATCGACACAATGGGAAAAAAAAGGAGACAAATGCATTATAAAGCGATCCTTTATGATCTGATGTCCTTGTGACTTGATGAAGCCCACTGTGTGGGCGAAACGTTGACAATAAAGGTTCGCATTATACTGCACTTGTGTCTTTTTCAATGGAAGAAAAACTTCTACAAACTTACCCATAGAGTGACCACAAACTGGGGCGAAACCAACTCTTGTTAACAAAGAAATCTCTCAATATTAGAGCCTTACACCCTCATAGACTGTTGTCTGTTAAGACTGAACTCATGTTACAGTAATTGGTTCGTATATTAAGATATAACTCTGCTGAGGGAAATGCCATTGCCTTGAACATCAGAGACGAAGGAGCAAAACACAGCACAAAGATCCATTAACACACGTAACTTCCATAATTTCACTTCAACCAAATAACAATTCGCCAGTTTTTAGATTCTTATCATAATAACTTGTGACATAATAACCTTACTTGGCTCCACCAGAAGTGGGGTTAAGTAAATTCTTCATCACAGCAGAAATAGAAGAGCCTTTACTGACACTTGTAAACAATAGCATTTCTTAATAAAAACTGAAATTCTAACATATTGATATTTCTACACAATATGAATTTATTGTTTAATAAATACCCATCGGCGGCATTTTAAAAATCATCTATTGCATTTTGGTAAAAGAGTGCTTGGATTATTTCTTAGAAAATCGAAAACCATGTCTTGAGCACATGGCGGTAAATTCAATTGCCACGTAACTTTATTTTTTATATTTATTTGTAGTTACTGCATTGCATAAATGTCGTTTTATAATTTTTCCTAAATTCTAAGAGCAAAAACAATCCTTATAACAAATTCAGCTACCATAGGATAAGTAAATAAGGAAAGCCGAAAAATAGGTAGATATGGTGGGCTTCCTGTAATTAAATATTCAGCCTTGAGATAGAGCAGACAGGAAGTGTTACTGCTACACTCACTCTACCTTGTAACCAGCCTTCCACACCATGTGCCCTTTTAAAACGTAATATTAACATTTTAGTATATAAAAAACATATTTCCATTGTGCCACTACCAATGACAATGACAATGACAGCGACAATGACAGTGACAATGACGGTGACAGTGACAATGACGGTGACAGTGACAATGACAATGACAGTGACAATGACGGTGACAGTGACAATGACGGTGACAGTGACAATGACGGTGACAGTGACAGTGACAATGACAGTGACAATGACAAGTTTATTTTAGTATGATATATATTTGTACAAAGGAGTGTAACAATTTGGTGACCATGCCAAATTCCCCTTTATATGCACAGAATTTCAGGCCAACTTAAGACTAACTTAAGTTTAATAAGGCAGTTACAGTGTAGTAATGAAAATAAGTCCTTTTGTCTGACTTTTTGGGGGTTATCCTAGGTAATTAATACATATGTTAGTATGTATGAGAATTTGTTTAGCTGCATTTATGTGTACCTGTGCTTAATAAACTTACTCACCCCAATGGAAACAAGTCTGTCAACTTTCTTGAGTTATCCTAGGTAAAGTACACATATGTTAGTATGTATGATAATTTATGTAACTGTATGTATAACTATACCTGAATAAACTTATTTACCTTAATCTACATGATGTTTACAAATGTTTAAGGAGGAACTGTACTTACCTAACACACCATTACCAAGGACGGCGTGGAAATGTACGTGAACTGTGTGCTTACTCGGGGTTTGGGAAAACCGGGTTTTTCAATGGATTTTGTTTTTTTAAGGTAAATACTTAGAAACACTGCTGAATTTGTTAAATTTTCACACGTTCCTTTTGTTCTGTTCAGCAGTGTTATTAATTGATTCCTTGTGAATAGTAACTCCGCTTGCGTAACGATGAGATGATTTATGAAAATTTTAATGCCGGGGGATGATGAGATAATGTTTAATGGCATGAAAAGCATTTTATCATTTTTTCATTAGTATCTTTCCCCCTTTCCCCCAGGAGCCACCCCCCAATAGTAGTAAACCCCCAGGTACCTACTTCCCTCTAGGTGAAAAAAAAGACGAAGTTGAAGATTGGACACTTACGCTTTGGGGAAATCTTTATTCAGGAAACTTTCGCCACACATGGCTTCATCGTCCGATACAAAGGGGGAAGGCGAAGGAGGGGGGGAGAATGGGTAATCAGTCCCCACTGGCAGGTTCAGTCCTTCAATCTAAAAAGTTTGAGGGACTGAACAAAAACAGAATATCTAAACGTTTTCGGGGTATAATCTTACAGAGAATAACTAAAAAAGCCCAATTAAAAGCAGTAGTTATGTATTTTTGCTCCATTTATGTTCAAATTTTCATTGACAATTTTAGATTTAAATAATCAACTACCTTTTTTGTGATTTTACTAGTAAGATAATTCCCCTTATGTGTTTTCTTTTTTTTAAACTATTGTTCGTTTAAAATTTTGCTAAATTGATACTTTCCTGTCCTATTATACCTCATATTTTTTTAAATTATAAATTGTATTACTTTAAAATTAATAAATATCTTTTTACTAAAATTTCAATTTACTCTTAACATTTTTGAATTTAATAACCATTACTTGATTTCCCTTTTTCCCGTTTTAATACCACTTTACACCCTAGATTATTTAATTCCTTTTTGCCATAAAACCCCTCAATTTTAAACACCAGTGCAATTTTGAATGAAATAAACATTACTATTTCACTTTTTTGTAACATTATTATTAAAAAAATTTTATTTAACCCCAATATTTATACCAGCAATTTTCTTTTGTACATTAAAATTATTTTATATTCCATAAAATTTTTTTTGCCAAATTTTAAAGTTTTTTATTAAACCCCCAACCTTGTATTATCCTTTGTACCTGTGCCTGGGTCCCTGTCTCCCATCTTATTTCTTTTAAAAACCAAGACTTACCATTGTGTTTTTTTTCTTTTTCTTTTGTACTTTAATTTAAATTTTTATTTTGTAAATTTAAAAATCTATATTTAAACCCTTAAACTTGTAAAAACCCTAAAGTTAGTGCAATTGCAAGTCCATTTCAAATTGTTTTTTTATATTATAAGTTTATTTTAAAATTTCCCTACCTCTGTAAATTTAAAACTTTGTTTCCCTTTTTCTTTTTTTAGTCCCTTTTATATTTCTCTTTATTTTAGCTTTATAAAACTACCTGTTTTATATCCAAACGTTAAAAAAATAAGGTGCTATTCTCAGGTGCTAAAGTAGAAAAAGCACCCCTTCTTCCCATTATTTCCCAAAGCTCTTTTATTCAAACCTAATTTCCCTTTTTATTAATTTTAAACAAAAATTTAAAACTTTAAAAATTCCTTTTAGTATACTCTATCATTTTTCCAAGCATTTTAATGATATCACTTTTTTGTATTGCCCCTTTTAGTCATTATTTTCTTTGTTAAAAAATTCAGGGCTATTTTTTAGCTTAAGACTATTTTTTTTGTTTTTATTAATTCTAACTATAGATTCACTACAAATTTATGTTACAAGCATTGATCCTGATCCCAAACCCTCTTTTTTTAATGCTTAAATGAATAAAATTACTGAAATTACTACATGCAAAACAATCAAAGGCATTCTCATCCAAACAACAACAAAACACTTTAATTTTAAAATATCAATCTTTAAGCAAGTTACGATGACCCTAGCTTACTAAATTCCTTACATCCTTGTCCTCTTACACTAACTGAAACCTGGCTAAAGTGATAGTACAAAATTCTATGCCTTCCTGGTTACACAGCCAACACAACGTAGGCCAGCCAAACGGGGGGGCAAGCCATAACACTCAGCCCAACTAGAATGTATCACTAATTTGCACAAGGGTGAACAGGGGGAAAATAAAATAGCAAAATTCAAACCAAATCCTAAAAAAACCTCTCACATTGAAAAAACTCACAGGTTCCCAGTCAAACATTACCCAATTTTGTCAAATCTAGGAAGTATGATAACTATCCCCGCAGAAAAAAGATCACTTATACTCTCAGGTGACCAATAAAAACCCCTGCAAGACCAGGACCCACCGTTACTGAATTCACAACACAATGAGTAATGATTTTTTAACCAACATAACAAAACCTCAAAGTTCGAGATAGTTTTTCCCCATTGACCACATCTGGCCAACCCAATCCCTTTTTAAAATCAGGCTAATTCGTAATCCACAGCCCCACTCCCCACTTTCCTCATAAAACTTTGGTAAACCCCCCAAAGACCTACAAATCCCTTCGATTCACAATGAGGCACCCTTTAAATAACTTCGCAACACATTAGCAAACATTGATTGGCCATGAGCTAAAAAATCTTACGGTATTGAGAATGTTTTAATAATTTTCAAAAAAAGCCCCAAATCCCTTATAACAAGAATGCCTAAAAAAAACTAAACAGATGACGCAAAGAGATGAACGCCCCTGGCTAACACCCAGCATTCTCAAATCCTAAATACAAAACACCAATATGAAAAAACAGTCGAAGGGTCACAAAACCAAGACCAAACAAAACGTTTTACTCGAAACCCAAACCCACTGATAAAAAGGGGAAAAAAAAATTGTTTATGAAAACAGTTTATCCAACTTCGAGGTGTATAAAAAAGCCCGGGAAAAACTATTGAAATTCTGGGAAACCAAAAAAGTATCCAAATAGCGAAATAAAATTAGAAAAATCGATGAACCCCAACTCCCCCCAAAACAGAAACACAAACGACCCAATGTTTCTTCTCCTTTTGGAAAAAACCTTCCCCCTAAAATCCCAAGCTCAGATACCCCCCAAAAAACTCCTCCCCGCAACTCCCCCGAACACTTTTCCCTAGTCCGACAAACCCCCTCAAGTCCCCCTTATTATCAATCACAAAAAAACAAGGGGGTTTAAGTACCTTACCACCCTTTATTATAAAAAAGTTCACAAGTGCATCCCAATCATTGCAACACTTTTAACAAAACCATTTAATCCCCACCCTTTCCCCACGTACCAAAAAGCAAAAGGGACCCGATCCACAAAGGAGGAGACCAAACAGGTTGAATAAATATGGCCCAATATCCAACAAAAACCCTTTCAAAAAATTTTTAAAAACTAATTCATAAACGAAACTATCCCCCTTATTCCAAAACATACTCAACCCCCCGCCATTTGGATTTGGCCCAATAAAAAAACAATTGCATTTTTACCATGCTAGAACATATATAAAAGAAGAGAAAAAAGAAATCCCCCTGGGTCTTCATTGACTTACGAAACTTTTGATACGTTGACCATGACTTGCTTAGTAAATTGTCCACATGGTATAAGAGGCCTCCCCAATTACCTCAAGTCTCCTCAGCAACAGAAGCCATAATTTTAGCAAAGGGGCAAAATCTTTGCGCAACCCAATTTCAGTTGGGGGTCCCCCAGGGGAAATGTCCTTGGCCCCCTTCTCTTTCTCCATAAAATGACCTTCCTGTTCGCAATTACTCAAACCCCACTATTTTCAATGACACTCATACGTCCTCTCACCCGAGCCCAGCACACTGCCAAAATGTAAAAACCGAATTTCAGAAAATATCTATGGATGAGGGCTAAAAAAAC